GAATAAAACACCTATTAGATATCTAAAATAAACTTCAATCCACTTAAATTTTCATTCAGTACAAACTTTGGAGGTAATGAGTGCCTGAGTTCATGACCCCACTGTGTAACACAGTACTTAATTTTATTTATCCTACCACTTCTTTTATTTACCACATTATCTTTCTAATTGTGGGCTCAATTTGTTCATTTGTAATAGCTGTAAAAGATACAACATAGATCAATGGAGATCTATGAGCTAATCATTCAATTTCACAGCATTGTTTGGAGAATAGGTTTTCTTCCTCTAATGGGACAAATTCTTGAGGATTATGGACCATCTATCAAAACATTATCAGCAAATACTAGCATCTGCGCATCTCACCTTCTATAGGGGCTCCCTTTAACTTCAACTCCATCTATTGCCTTTGCTTGACATTAATGATCAGAACATTGCGAAAATGAGGTTATTTCTGTTGCAACTTTTAAGTAATCTTGTATAAGCCTGATACATGCAAGGGAGATATTTCAGAGAAGCCATTAAGGCCTCAGAGGCCAGCCTGACCAACTTCCATATTTTACAAATAAGGAAACGGAAGCCTTGGTAGGTTAAGTGACTTGAGCTGGATAATGTTTTGCTTTACTGAATCAATTGATTTTTTATAGAAAACAAACAAGCACATCAAGATCTTGGATTCTTTACATTCTTCAGTCGAGTATGTGATAATAAAGATATAGTCCTCTGTGAAATGTCACTTACAAAAACCAGCCTGTTCCCTTATGAATAATCTCATTTAGGACAGCCTCAATGCACATATGAATACATGAGTCTCCTACAAATTATGTCAAAGTGGGGATATGACTTGGTAGTTATGGGTATTCTTTTGGTTACCTTTCTTGATTCAAGAAGGTCTGAGTTTTTTTCCCCACACCTTTAGTATCTTTCTCTTCTTCAAATACTGCAAGTAGCAATTCCTCTGCCATGCACATTTGGTCTACTTTTCTTCAGTGACATTTCCATTGCATGTCTAGGACTGTTAACTCATGTTAAGAGTCCAAATGTGGTAGTTCCATATGTTGAAAAGACTACAAAGATCTTTTCCTAAGGTAAGTTGTTTTCCAACTCAAGAGTTTAACCTTTACATCTTTATACTGGGATGACTGCTTATCAGGTCATTTATTAAGGATTCAACAAACTGTTTTTTTTTCCTTCCACTGTTTCTCCCTGTTTTATGAAGCATAAATACTCTTGAATCCTCCTCTATTCTTCTCCACAGGAAAACTATTTTATACATGAAACTGTTTTCCTTGGCAGTCAAATCTTTCTATTTGGTAAGAAGGTCAAGCATTTGTTGACAAAGATAGTTTTTAGGTACTTTGGACCTCATATATATACGGCAGTTTCATTTTCTAATTTGCAACTTCAATAATTTGTTTAAACAGGTCAGGCTGAAGTTGTTTTAACTGGACTCCAAATTTTTCCCCATTCTTATTCTTTCTGCTAACTTTATACTAATTTTGATCTTTTCTCTAACCAGTCAGTAAAGAAAGGTGATTCAAGCAGGTACAACTTTTGCATTAGTAAAGAGTAATTTTTTTGTCAAAATATAACCAATTTCTTTTTTTTTAATTTGGTGTTTATCTTTTTTTAAAAAAATCTTTAGCTCTTCTGTGAAGTCTTATTGGGTTTGTGTCCAATTTGCTTGTAGATGTTTTCTCATCATTGTCTTCTGAGTTTGTCTTGAGCTTCCTTGTCACCAAGACCAAGCAGCTTTTTATTGGCAGGTTCCTTTTTTTTTTTTTTGCTCATTTTCCCAGCCTACTTCTTGACTTTGAACTTTAGGTTAAGGTTAGGCTAATGTGGGGTTGGGGAAAAGGAGAAATTAGAGAGGAGAGGAGTGTATTGTCCTCAACTTCAGACTTTTTCACACTACTATCTTCATAGCCAGTTCTGAAGTGGGGATGGGGGGATGGATCTGCAAGTTTTTGGTGCTTCTAAGGTGGTGTGAACTAAGGAGCAGTCTGTTCACTGCTCTCTTGGTCTGCATTCTTGTACTTGCCAGGAAGGTCCCCTGCTCCCTTTCAATCACAAGTGCTAGCTCTCCTTTCTGCCCTGGAACTGTGACTAAGGCCCCTGCTCTCTCTTTGTCCTGAAACTACAACAGGTACCCTTGCTTGTGACCAGCAGTGCTTTCTCTGCCTTAGCAATGCAATCCAGAATTGGGTACAGGGTAATGGAGATGACAAGTACTACAGTCTTGCACCCAGTGCCCACATGCGGGTCCCCTATAATCTCTTTCTGACCAGTTGTCCAAACTCTTTACTGTCTCTGGAGATGGAGAGCTCCCACACCTGGTGCTGCTGCTGCTGGTGTTCTCAGCACCTCTGAGTTCCACATCTGGTGCTGCTTCCACGTGTGCTCTGGGCTAGCCCACACCCCAGTTTCACAACCCTCTTCTTATAATCCCCTAAGTTGTCTTGGGCTGGAAAAGTGTCTTATCTGACCTTTTGTTGGCTGTACCATTCCAGAATTTGATCTGCTATTTTAAAGTTGTCTGGAGAGGAATGCTCAAAGATCAGCTTGAACGCTCCTTCTACTCAGAGATTTTGGCTCCACCTCTAACTGGTGTTTATCATATTCAGAATTCAGAAGCCTTCTGAATTCACGATATATATCACTGAATCATGAGGCATCTATGCAACTTACAAGTCTTTGGCTCTTTTATTTCTAACATATTTTCTTCTCTATTTACCCAAGCCTACTTTTGCATTCAAAACACTAAGTACAAAACCATGTTTACTTAATTTGGAATATCTTATCCAACCATCCATAGAATTTCTCTCATCTTCTGCAATATATGTTGGCACATTTCCTTTAATTACTTTGATGATGGTTTTTCTGTGAATATTTTTCATAAGCACTGCTAAATGAGGTAACTGAAAGTCCCATGAAAGGTCTCCTGTTGACCTACAAGGTCAGCTGAAACCACTACACCAAACCTTTATTTCCTTCTCAAAGAGACTGGTAATCGTTTTGTTTTCTGCTTTTGTTTATAGGGAGACTGTCAAGAACAAACCAATTTAGTTCCTCCACTAAGTCCTGCTTCTAAGTCAGTAAACAAGGTTCTCACATTTAGAATACTACTACCACCACTAACAGCTACATTTCTATAGCATCCACTATTTGCCAGGCACTGTTCTAAGTGTTTTACAATTATTATCTACTTTTATCCTCACAACAACCTTGGGAGATGGGTGCTATTATCATCCTCATTTTACAGCTGAGGAAACTGTGACTTGCCCAGGGTCACATAATAAGAAGTGTCTAAGGCTAGATTTAAACCCAAGTCTTCCTAACTCCCGGTACTCTAGTTAATGTTTACAGACAGCCCAAAACTGTATGGTTTTTGGCAACCTCTGCCCCCCCCCCATTACAATTCTGTCATCTGAATTCTAGAAACAAAGAGGCTGGCATAGGACAGATTAGATGGCTATTTCATATTTCTTTTCTTCATGGGTTGCCAAGGCCAAAGAATTCATCAACAAGTAGCCAAGCTACTGGGACTAGCCTCTGGCCAGTTCCACCTCTACCCTAGCTGCATGGCCCCCCTGGGGAAAATCTTCATCCTGAGGTTGACTCAGTAATTTCTGGTCTTTGATTGAACCTCCACATCATGAGAACGCTCAGCCATGCTACTTTCACTCACTCTCTCTCTCAGGCTCAGCCTCAAGTTTACTCCACTCCACCTCCACACTGGTTACCTGCATCAAGAAGGTACTCTCCTGAAAGTGAGAGGATGCCCATCAAATGGGGAATGGCTGAACAAGTTGTGGTATATTAATGTAATGGAATATTATTGTGCTATAAGAAATGATAAGCAGGCAGACTTCAGAAAAACCTTGAAAAGACTTGCATAAACTGACACTGAGTGAAGTGAGCAAAACCAGGAAAACATTGTACACAGTAACAATAACATTGTGCAATTACCAACTCTGATAGACTTAGCTCTTCTCAGCAATGCAAGGATCTAAGACAACTCCAAAAGACTCATGATGGGAAATGCTATTCACATTCTTCAGAGAAAGAACTATGGATTCTGAATGCAGATTGAACATACTATTTTTCCCTTTTTTTTCCTTTCTCTTGTTTTTCCCTTTGGTTCTAATTCTTCTTTACAACATGATTAATGTATAAATACGTTTTAATATGATTGTACACGTACGGCCTATATTAGATCACACTCCATCTTGGGGACGAGCAGGGGTAGAAAATTTCAAATTCAAAATCTTATAAAAGTGAATGCTGAAAACTAAAAATAAATAAATGAATAAATATTAAAAAAAAATAGAAGGTACTCTCCTTCCTCCCCACCCTCAGCTAGTCATTAGAAATTCTAGACTTTTAAGCACGACAGAACATGTTAGAACTTGCACTCCAACTTGCATAGTATTTGAGAAACCTTAGTCATTTACTCCCACAAATCACAGAATTTGAGAATTATAAGGGATTTCAACAGCTATCTAGGTCCAACTTATATACAAAAGAAATTTCCATTGTAACATGCCCCACAACTAGATATATCTAGTTTTCGACCGGCCTCTAAATGATAAATAAATACTAGGTAATATAATGAAGAGTTCATTGCACCTACAAAATTAGTAACTGCAAGGCTAAAATCGAAAGCACATTATTCTTGATTAGTTCTAATTCTTTACTGCCAAGATAACCAATTCAAAACTCATGACTCCTTCTGATAGAGAGAAAGAGATATTTTTTCTTTTAAAAATAAACTATAGTTACTTAAACTCACAATAATCATATAGCTGGATGATCAAATCAATTTTCAGAGAAGAGCCAATGAATTAAATTTACATAATGGTCCTAACTTTACTATAAAAATGTGTAGACTCTGGAAGTCCTCATGAAGGGATTCAGTATATTATGGTGGAAATTTTGTCAAATATAAGCTACAAAGTGGAATAAACCTATCGAAACCTTAAAGATGACACCCTCATTCATACCTGTATTTCACTTATTTTGTATGGTGTTAGGCTAGTATTTTCAGGAAGAGATTCTAAAATAGTGTCTTCTGATTCTTCTGTTTCTGAGCATGATGGGGTCTCCACAGTTACTTTCACAGGAAAATCCATTTGCTTAAAGAAAATCATAGGAAACTTTAAGCAAGGTTAAAATGATCAAACATTAAAGCACATTTCAAAATATTTCCAAACACTAAGTAAAATTTCCTTATCTGACATATTCATTATGTAACACTTGACTGTATATATATTTGGGTAATATAATAGTAGATGAATGTGCAAATCTATCTGCAAGTACTTTTCTTTCATTTCATCTTGGACGTAAAGATATAATTATTAATAACCAACCCAAATGTAATAATTGTAGCATAATATACTTTTTCCTGTTGGTTACACTGTGATTAAATAATTTCAACATCCTGAATCGTACTTTTATTTTAACTTCACATAAGTAGTATGGTATAGTAAGTTGGGTTTAGGATCATAGATTAAGAGCCGAAAGGGGTTTCAGGGATGATCTAATATAAATCTCATCACTGGAGAAACCTAATGCCCTGAGTTTAAGTGAACTGGCCAAGGAATATTCTGGGTTTTATTCAGGGGAAAGCCTGTAAATAGACAGTTAATTTAAGTTGCAAAGCAGGGGGTAGGAGGCAGAAATTACTATTTGGATGGAGAAATACCATGAGCGCAACAGAGTTCTTTTTCCCTTTTCTGCTTAACAACATATGGTCTCTTAAGCCAAACATCTGCAATACCGACCTAGGAATTTTTAAAGATACACATTGTAGATAATAAAAATAGTTCACTGGAAGGTTAAGTCTTCTAAGGGACAGCCAACCTGCACTCAAAAATTAGGACAGAAATTTCCTTTCAACCCCCAAAATTGAAACATGATAAATATTATTAGCATATTACCTGAACTGGCCAAGGTAAATCTCGAGTTTTCATCAGTGGAAATCCCCTAAAGAGACAGTAAATTTAGGTCACATTTTAAGGTAAAAATGTCGGGGTTTATAATAACATACAAAAGCACATTAAACTGACATCTCTGGAGAAGTATCTATTTTATATAATTTAATTTTCCAGATAAATGAATCTTAACCCTTAAGGTGCCAAAAAAAATTTGAAAGTTCTAGGTATTTTTAAGTTTAATATTTCACATATCTTTCTCTTTTGTGAAAGAATACAGTGAACATAATTAACATTTTCTTGGCTGTCATTATAAACATCAAGATAAGGCCCACATTAAATGGCCCCAAGCTACAATTTTTTTTAAGTTTTCATTTTCTTTCCCTTTAAAAAAATCCCCAAAGCTTCATGTGTCAAAACTTTAAAGCTGGAAAAGCCCAGAGAGACCACTAAGTTCAGGAGTTTTAAATCTGAGGTGCATAAATTTGTCTTTTAGAATATTTTAATAACTATTTCAATATAATTCATTTCCTTCGTAATCCAAAATATTTTATTTTGTGCATTAAAAAACATTGTGAGAAGGGATCCACAGGTTTCACCAGACTGCCAAAAGGGTCCACGTACACAGAAAAGATTAAGAATCCCTGTTCTAGTCCAACTCTAACTATGTAAATGAAGAAAGTGAGGCCTAGAGAGGAGATGGTGCCTCAAGGACACGCAACCAAGTTTTTTTTGTCTCTTCACTGTCAGCTGTCATTTTATATTACTGTCAGTATAACCACCCATAATGCCACAACTATACTGTTTTCTTCTGTTCCTATTTAATTTATTGCTTCTCATCTTCTCTGGATGGAACCTAGACAACCAAAGTTGTTAGAACTATATGTAAAGTAAGAGTTCAGACCCTGAAAGAAAGCATGACAAGTTCTCATTAAGTCAAGTGAATATGTTCTAATGCACTGACACTGTTAGAGCATTTTTATTTTTCATAATTTATAACAAAATATAACATTTGCTATGAGCAAAATATATTCAGACACATACTAAAATGTATGTACCTCAAAATATTTTCACATGAGTAGCTAAAAAGATCTAGATATAGTGTCACTGAAATCTATTAGAATGTAAGCTCTTTGAGAAAAAAGACTATTTGTTGTCTCTTTATCCCTTCAAAAATTTTTGTACTATTGAATTTAATTTTTTTCTTATGAAACAAAAACAATTACCTTTCCTTGAAGATCAAAATTATCCCATTGAGCCTTTTTAAAAATAACTTTTAGGGGCAGCTAGGTGGCGCAGTGGATAGAGGACCAGATCTTCTGTCAGGAGGACCTGAGTTCAAATTTGACTTCAGACCAAACACTTGACACTTACTAGCTATGTGACCCTGGGCAAGTCACTTATCCCTAACTGCCTTTAAAAAAAAAAGCAACTTTTACAAACTGATCCTTTTATCAGAATTGAAATCTGATGGCTTAATTTTTCCCTCTATGGCAAAAATTCTTCCCCCCATCCCCAGTTTTGTGGCTTACATTTGGGTTCAAAAGATATACAATCTGACAAGTTGCCTGGCTCATATTTCATATGATCAATATTTTTCTTACATTATAAAGACAGAAGCTAAAAATACTCTACCTGCTCCTACTGGCACGTTCTGCAGTACGCCAGGGCAGGAAGCCATATGTACCAGGTGGTAATGACTCTGGAGTATAAGAGTCTTTACTACATAACTGTTTTCTTCCTGTACCTAAAGGTTTCATTGTTGTTACTCCTGAATGGTTTGAAGAGGGATTAAAAGAAGGAATTAAAAGCAATATGAAACACATATGTATATATGACTAGATTAGCATATATATGTATATACACTCTGGGGTAAAAGAAAAATATGCATGTCGCGTTTAAGCTAATGCAATACAGAATAAGCCCATTTACTTTAATGTCCTTTTATAAAGAACAATCATTTCATTTTTATATTATTGCTGTACTGTGCCAAGTATACTTTTAGTATGATGTTTTAAGTCACATACAATATGCTAAGGTTAGCAACTCATGGACTGGCTTGAAAAGACTCAGTCCATTAGCCCAAGTATGGAAGACATATGCCACTAATCTTTACAAAATATCATCACAGGAGAAGTTATGAGGTTACTTCAGTGTTTTTCTACTTAGCCCTTGCATGGCCGTATTAAAACTTCTCCTTTGAAGAGGAGAATATAGGAATGGGGGGGCAATAGGCTGTAAGCATATATGCTGCCATGTGTATTTCCTATCAGGACTTGTCACAGAATTATCTCAGTGTGCTGGAAGCTATCACATGGGACTGGCTATGATAAAATGGTCCTACCTCTATGGGCTGGTGGAAACGTACCACTGCTTTGTTGATTTCCACCTGCTCCAGTCTGTGAATCTTTCACTTAACCTCTAGCCTTAACAACATCTTATAATCCAAACCTGAGCAGGACAGTACATGACACTTAAGCATGTGTTAGACAATAATAAAAAAAAAGTTAAATATCTATCATGGAATGTAAAGAATGATGCCACCAATTTATTGGCTAGAATTAATTTTTAGCACATTTTTTCTACCAAATTCATCAGCATCAGAGAGCCACACTAACATCTTTGGCACTCCTATACTCAAGGGAAATAGGAAAACAGGTATACACTTTCTCTTGAACAGGTTGCACTTTGCAGCTACAGTATCATACTACTCTGAGACCACTCTCTCACCCTAACATTACCACAGGGAGTTGTTGGCATGAAACTTAAGAATCTGTTCCCTGCTTTCACAGAACAGACTGACACTGAACTGTCTATTAAAACAATCTCTCAATAATGCAAACTTAACTTTCATAAGGAAGACAAAATAAAATGTAAAAAATAACAGCAAAAAACAGGTGAAAGAAAATATTTCTGAGATTATAAGAAGCCAATAATTCATTCTTAAAAGGTCCAAGTAATTTATGCATTTACTGCCTCTCAGAACAATTTATTATGCATAATTAACTTATACAATTGCATTAATATGATATCATTATGTAATTATCTTAATTATCAAGGCAGGGTTATGATTTATGAATAATTAGAAAGGACAGCAAACAGTAAGCTGAAGTTTACATTCAAAAATTAAATTTCCTGCCTTGCAACATTAAGAACACCTTAGTTAAATTTTCATATAAGTGTAAGAATTTATTATTCCATTCTCCCACTATTCCAAACAGCATATGTAAAGTCACTACATAGGATATAAGATGTCCTAATCACTACAAGTCACTAATATGCAAATCTTTATAAGACTATTACTCTGTCATGCCCATGGAATGAATTTACACCTCACAAATTACATTAAAATTTAGTTTACCTTGTGCTATTTAATTTAAATTTTTTTCTTTCTTAATATAAGTCTAAATGTAATACTGAATTTTGTCTTTAAAGCATATACTAAATACTAGTAATGCAATTAATCTCCTATGCTCTCTGAAAGTGATTACTAACCCAGACACTGACTTAAAGTGCTTACCTTGGTGCCTCCAAATTACTGAAGCAAACATAAAAAAGCCCAAGAAACAAAATTACTTTTTCAGTAGCTCAGTAAAACTTGCAAACCTGTCACATTTTCACTTTGCTTCTTAAGATAATAAAGGAAAACTGACATTACAGAAAGTGTATCTTTTAACATACTAACCACTTTTTCATTATCTGATGTGATCCAAATATTTAAAAATAATATTGGTAAGCAAATCACAGTCTCTTTCCATTTAGCAATCCATACTCTTAAAAACTACTGTTGCATGTATCTTCCAATAAAAGAACCAGTGTGAAATCAAGGATGTATAACATTTAAAGGATGATTTAAGGATATTTATATTAATACACCTATAATGTCACTGGTATAGGGCTCACAATGAGAAACTTTCTCTACCACTGTATGTTGGCACCAGTTATGTGACTTGCTTGTACTTACAGAGTCAGTATGTGTCAAAAGGCAAGACTTTAACACTGTTCTTCTGACTCTAAGGTCAGCTCTCTACTATGCACAACTTAAAAAAATACGATGTCCTCACTGAACATGTTCTTCTTATTCTCATATACCCATAAGGGTGGGGATGGAAAAGAATCTACCCTTGGTTTCCATATCAAATCCTTACAGGATTGCTACGATAACTCTATTTGAGAGGCAAAGTGGTACCTAATGGCCGTGTGGCCCCCGAGCAAGTTACTTAATTTGTCAGGACCCAAGGTCACTTTCTAAAACTAAAAAAGTTACAGAGCAACCGATAATCTTCATTGAAGAGGGTAATTTCTTTAATGAAAGTACACATTCAGGAAAAACAAAATTCTTCTGTACAACGTATGAAATATCAAATAATAGGTTACTTTATGTGTTGACAAGTGGAGTGGATCTTCCGTGGGAATAGTGGGACAACTTGCACAAGAACTGAACACGATGAAAAGACACAAATGGATTTGCTATTTATACTGATGAAAAGAATGCTCTCAAGATCCACTAAATTATATACCACATCGTGGGTAACAAAATGATGATTAATAATTGAACCAATAATAAAATTTTTAATAAGTCATTCTTTCAATAACTGCTCTAATGTACCAGTATTCAAAAAGCTGTAAAAGCTAAATTTCAAGTCTATCAAATCCTTTATGAAAATTATCTCTTTTGATCCACTTATTCAGTATAAATGTAAGGTATATTTTCACTCTAGAACATCTGGACCACTACTTATTCCTAAAAGAAGCTCAATGAAGAACAAGATACCTTCCAGAGTTCTTTCTTTCAGAAAGTTACATTTAAGGGTTGAGAACAAAGCAAAAATTCACAGCTGACCAAGGGTAAACATGTTTCAATATGGGAGCAAAATGTACTTAATTTTACCATATACTTACTAACATATTTATGTTGTCCACTGAGACTCTCATTTAGATTTTTAAAGGGTAACTTAAGACCTAAACATTTATTTTACATAATACCTGTCAAATCTCTAAATCTATCATGGGGAAAAAAAAGTTGGCTCTTTTTTCTACCGTCAGGTACAAATTGTTCTCCAAAATAAGTATACAATCAATCAAAATTCCTGCTCAACAAAGTAAATATAGATGCTCCCAAACAAGTGGATAAGTTTTTTTAAAGGCTTCTAATTAGGATGTACTTTTTCATGTTTTTTTCTTTCCCTTTCCTTATAAATGTACAGTGAAGGCCATCTCCTGTATTCTTTAAGTTTCCTTAATTAAAAGGACCACAATCTACAATGAAGGCAATCTTGATATTTTCCCACACAGACATCCTCCCAATACACTGCCACAAGATGGCACATAAAAGACTGATTACCAAGAGCAAATGAGAGGATCTGAAAAAGAGACTTTACTGTAAGTTCTTACTCAGCCTTTGCTGAAAGCGTCTTAAAAATTCTTATAGAACAAAAGTTCTACAAATACATAAATTTTAACTACAGTTGATCATGGAATTATAGCTCTAATTTCAGAAGTCTAGATAACTCATATTTGGGAAGTTCTTTTGAACACAAATATCTAATCTTCCAATGCATTACTCAAAGAGTGTTTCTCTCTTTAAATCTATTTCATCTGAATTAGTAAACCATTTTTAAAATATTTCAAAAAATAACTGTAGATATGCCCTCCTCTGAAAATAGCAGACACATTTTCACATTTATTTTCTGGTTTAGCACTTCATTTACGTTAGGTAAATGTACAGAAGGGAGAAGGCAGAAGAAAACAGATATCTTTGGAAACATCACTGATTTTAATAAGCCTTATCTTTAAGTTTACTCTTCATCAAAATCCTTTCCCAAAATTTACTTTCAAAATATTAGAAGTAAACAAACAGATATTCTACTCATAGTAGTCAACATAAAAAGTTCCCAAAAGGGCAAATAAGCTGGGATTGGGGTATTGGACAGGTGTTTAATTAGGAGCACTTTTTTCCTAGGTGATTCTTCTCTGAAAAGAAAAAGTTGAGAATATTATGCCCATGCCAAATTATTTTAAATAAAATGCTCACAATCTGAACAAAGCCAGCATTTATATCTTCAATACAGTATAGTAATTAGAGTACATTTTAAGTTTGAAGCTCTGTTGCTGAACATTTCGTGCACCCAAAAAAAAGGTAAGTAAATATTACAGGGGGAACTTCCAAGCGGCGTTAAAAAAGCACGGTTACCAATACGAATAGTAGCTTTTCCTTTTCGACCACTTCCCAGAATTATAGTTCTTTTTTTCTGTTTAGTTTTGAAAAGGTCCTTTAAAGTTGGAGAACTTAACCACTTGTACTAGAAAAGAGAAGTAAAATACTACATTTCAGTGACAGGCAATTTATGAGGTTTTAGCTTCAGCCAGCAATTATAATTTTAAATAAATAAAAAAATGTGTTTGTCCTTTTGGTAATACAATTAGCAATGTAATCTTTGGCAATAAGAACTAAATGAAAAGTATAAGATTGCCTTTATGTTATTTAGCCAGAAAATGACTGAACTGTAACTGGAAAATGAATTTCACGTATGTCTTTGCTATTAAAGAATAAACACAACAATAAATCCTCCTGGATGAAATAAAAAAATACACCATACCTCTGATTTAGCACTCTTTCCATTCTGGACAGCTCTGTCAATAACTGCTTTTATCAAAGAATGATCTAAAGTGAAAAGAAAATTAAATTGCAAATTTTCTAGTGATTTTGTACATGTTTTTGTTGAAAAACAGAAAAGTAGCCCAATATCACTGCTGTCCTTTTCCAGAAACATAGAAAATTCTCACTACTGTATATACATGTGACCTCTTTGTGCATATTTCCTTTCTATTCAATCAATATATGTGGCTATTTCTCCACAAAAATTCCCTCCAAAAGGCTTCTTTGTCAATAACAAGTAATGTAGATGAAAGAACAGATTAAGAGGCCTGAAAAATATTCTTTGCTTGAAGTTTTTACTCAGTCATTGTTCAAACCACATGACACAGTCTTACCAATTCTTCAATAGCACCTCTAGAGATTTCAGACTCTAGGGATAGAGAAGGGCTTCCAATGGTAAGTGTATTAAACAAGCCAAGACATATGAATTATATGTTAAATACTCTAAGCATAATCTCAAAGATCATATAAACATTATGAATTTATTGGCTAAAAAAAAAATGCACCTTTACAAGGGAATTTTTAACCTAAGACTCCCTGTGAGGAAACAGGCTCTAGCAAGGGTCTAAAAGACAAAAGTAAAGATTTTAGGGATATTTAGGTGTATCTAAGTATTGAAAGTCAGAACATTTAATATATGTAGTTCCCTGGCAAGGATAAACAGTTCAATTGGGTTGGAGCAAGGGTCACTGCCCCACCCTAGTGGGCCATATGCCAAGTGGCAAACAAAGCCTGTGGCAAAAAAATTACATAATAAAATGCCAAAATTATTCTGCAGTGCCTGGCCTACAACTACAAGATCCAAAACCCACCCTGACTTTGGCACAAGAACAACCAGGAACCATTATAACCCATTTAATAACACAATCTCCACTTTAAAAACTGCAAAAGAAACTGAGATTATGAGAGTCAACTTGGTAATACTTATAATAATTTAAATACTTTTTTTTAAGTTCTGTCACTAGCAAGCTTAACTAAACAAAACAACTTTATTAACATACCAACTAGTGGGTTTTTTCTTATATCCAGAACCACCATGGTTGTATTTCCTTCCAGGGCAGTTAGCAGAGTTTTAGCTCCCTCATTGCTAATCCCACACTGCTGCAGATCAAGTGCTTGAAATAAGAAAAAAACATTTCTACTTACTAAATATATATGTTTAATGCATAGTCATCACTATTCACATATGGAGTATCCTTTTTCACATTATTATACTGAAATGAATCTGTTAATGTCATTGACATGGGTATTGCCTCTAACACTGCATGTGACAACCCATCCATATCGATCTATCCAGTGTGACTACTGTCAAAGACCACTTTTACATTTATCGTCAGTGACCTAGCTAACATGTGACATGCTTTCTTCACTTTCTTTTTATTATTATTAACACCACCACATGTATACAGGACTAAAGGGCTTATGAAGCAAAATATTGGAGTATAAACTTTACTTATATTTAATATATAGTCACAACTTATTTATCCATGAATTTGGAAATAAAATTAAACCATCAAAAAACACCTATTAAGTTATGTGTCTGATCCTGGATAGGCAGTGAGGATACAAAGATAAAAATGAAAAGTTCCTGCCCAATGCATGTATAATTACCTCACAACTCCCCCTAAGGGGGAGGGTAGGTAATGCAAGTATTAGTATCACTACATTACAGATGAGGAAACTGAGGTCCACAGAGGCCAAGTGACTAGCCCAAGGTCACAAAGCAAGTGTCAGAGCAGGGACTTTACCTTCCCAAAGATTAAATTATGCTTTCTGAAGATTATCCACATCAATATTTTAATTCTAGTTTGACCTCCCTGTTTGAGAACATTTCTGGGCTGTTATCATTGCATATATGCAAAAGAAATGTAAACTAATTTTAAAATGAATGAAATTAAAAATATCAATAAGTTCTAACACCTGACTTTCATTTTTGGTAGGGTGAGGAGGAAAAACAGAAAGGATAATCTGTGCCACAGTTACTTTCTATTAGTGCATAGGACCAAAATTGTGTTGATAAACTTCACAGTTATAGCAAAAGAGCCATAACTACTCTGTCTTCTTTGGCCTCCACTGGTTTGTTAGGAATAGTAAGCAGTAAAAATTTTGTACTACATCCCCTGGTCATCTACCTGGTCTCTTGTAGTCAGCCAAACAAAACACTCAAGAGATTCAACATTAACAAGTACTTATTAAGCACCTACTACAAGCTAGCTGCTTGGGATAAAAAAAAATGATACAATCTCTATTTTCAAAAAGCTTACATTTTAATGTGAGAGACAACAAGAGCATATATAAGTATATACAGAATAAATACAAATAGAATAAGTACAAAATAGTTAATATAAGAGAGTTTGTGAGAAAAGGCATTAGCAGTCAAGGGAGGACCAGAAAAGTATTGACATAAGCTGAGTCTTTTCAGATACATCTTGAAGGAGGAGATGGATTCTATGAGGCAGACATGAGGAAAAAAGACATACTAGAAATTGGGGATGGTCAGTACGAAAGCACAGAGATGGGAGCTAGAGTGTCATCAGTGAAGAGCAGAAGGAAGATAAGTCTGGCTGTATCACAGAGTGCAGAAGGTGGAGTAATGTACAATGGGGAAGAAAGGACAGTTTCGAGTCAGGTTGTTAAGGAGTTTTTTTTTAAAGCTAAAGAGAGGAATTTATAATGGATCCTAGATTGTGGTTTATGGAGTAGAGAAGTCATGTGGTTACTAAGGAAAATCAATAGCAACTGTGCAGAGGATGAACTGGATTGGAGAAAGACTTCATGCTAGGAGACCAAATAAGAGGTTGTTGCAATAAATCTAGGCAAGGGGTGATAAGGGCCTGAAATAAGGTGGTGGCTGTGTAACAAAAGGGGTTGGACAACAGAGTCAACACAGAGGCAGAAACAGCAAGATCTAACAACTGAGCATGAGACATGAGTAGAGAGAAAGTGACACAAGGAGGATGAGGTTACAAAGCTGAGAGACTGGAAGAGTGATGATGCCTTCGACAGAAATAGTGAGATTGGGAAGAAGAGAGGGTTTGGAGAAAAAATATGAAAAGAGTCGCCTAAAGAGAGATGGGAGAGAATGCAGAGGGAGAAGAGAAGAGGACCTACAACAGTAAAGATGGAGAGAAGAATAAAAGACAAAAGCAAAAAGGAAGAGGAAGAATGCTAAGAGGGAAAAATTATGACGAGCACAGAAAAAAAAAAATAAAGACACACAGAGTGTCCCAAAAGTCTTAGTGCTGTTTTATGCCATTAAATCTTAAAACAGAACTAAGACTTTTGGGACATTAAAAAAATACATTTTACATAATCTATTAAAAGCATAAAAATTATATTAAAATATTCAAAATACTATATTTTTATATGTCAGTTTTTTATGTACACACATATTAAATAAAAGTAAAAAGAATAAAGAAAATAGCCACAAAGAATTTTCTAACCAGCCAATGTTTCCCAGGAGCAAGGAGCTAATAAAGGCACTTCTCTAAAGCATATAAGCTATAATATAGAGAAAACACAAATTAAAGATCTTGTATGTAATGTCCCTTGCTTCAACATTATTACTCAAATAATATTCTGAAAGCCAGGGTATGAATATCAAACTAAAATACCTTATTCCACAACAGAGCAAAGCAACAAATTTTGCAATAAGTCATTTTTGTACTTGTTGTGATGGACCAGATCAGAGACCACTTCTACTGTCTCCCAGAAACAATTGGTTTTACCAACCTCTCAGCCACAAACTGTCATGAAGACATTCTGCAAAAGCGCTGGCACCCTGATCGCCAATAAGGCTGTTGCAGTTGAGTGAGATGCGTTGCAAGCCTGCCATGCCATCCAGATCGGGGTTCCGATATCGAAGACTCTCAGCCCACACATCTTCAAACCTCCTTATCGCCTGGTACTTGAAAGATTTAGACAAATGAAGTAAGCTCTGGGAAAAATCAATACTTATGTAAACATAATTCTTTTATAAAATGATTTATTAAATTGCAAATTCACATATACTACCAAGAGGCCATGAAAACAAACTTGAAAAATGTGGTTGAGTAAAAAGGGCTAGTAAATAATCAGGTCTAGCCCCTGCATCCCCACTACTGAAATGTACAAACTGGGGCAAGTCATTGAACCCTTCTGGGTTTTGTTTTTTATCTATAAAATGAGGAGACTTAAAAAATGATAGGTAAGATCCTACAATTCCAGGATTCAACATATTAAGAAGTGAACATGACATATGCCAAAGAAAATAGATTATTTTTAAAATTCATACAGTGGTGCTATGGCAAGCTTCTTAACTCCATGCTTTAAAAATGAGGCAGAAGCAAATTAAAACGACTTGAACAAGGTTATGTAAGAGTTCACTAAAACAGAACCAGGACTAGAATCCATGTCTCTAAATATTAGGTCCAATGAACCTTCCATCACACCATGCTGTCCTACAACTGATAAATCAGAAACATCCACCATCATACATTAAAATAAAAAGAAAAATTAAAAACATCAAGCAAGCTTCTCAAAAGAAATTCTTTATATAAATGGAAAAGCTTGGGCAGTTATTTGTGGTTAGAACAACCAGAATTGTAGGTGCCCCCAAAGCATCAAAACCTAGTCACCTCTCTTTAGCAACTGCTGCATTCACTTTCGGTTTGGTCATCTAAGAAAGTAAGGGGCAACTAAGTGGCGCAGCGGATATAGTACCGGCCCTGAGTTCAAATCCGATCCTCAGACACTTGACATTTACCAACTCTGTGACCCTGGGCAAGTTACATAACCAAAAAAAAAAAAAGTAAATTTTTTGATCAATTCATGTTAATTTTTTTGTGCTAGATGCATTAAATTATTAAGATTAAAGTTCAAATATTAATCACCTTTAAGATATTAGCCAGATGTTCTGCTCCACGCCAAGTCAGATTACACCCTGAGAAGTTTATAGTCTTGAGGGTTACTGAGGTCTTAACACTTTGACAGACAGCTAAAAATAATAGAGAAACCAAAGACAAACACCAGATCAAACACAAATATTCATTATTCACTTTTCTGAGTCTATTCTTGTTCAATAGCTGTTTTACCAATTACTAAGTTGTGTTTTTTTTCCTAATACCTGTATATACACTAAGCCTGTTGAACATAAAAGACACGAAAACTATAAAGTCTATTACAGTGGCAATGTTATTCCAACTGACAAAAATCATGAGCTAGCTAGCTAAAAAGTATACAGTCTGAATGTATGGAATTTGCTTTTGATATACCAGGAATTTTCCTGTATTTTTAAAGCATAAATTATAAACGTTTTCTCCTGTCTATGCCTTAATTTCCATACAATCACTAAAAAAGAAAAAACCTTCTCCAAAATTACATGCTCTACAATTTATTTTCATTGGTTTTTATAACAACTACATGTCTACCACTACACTGCATCCCAAGGAGGATTACAAGGAAAACACAGACAGTCCTTGACCTCAACAACTATTTGAGAAGGCAACACACCATGCATTTTTTTTAAATGACAGATTACAAAACAAGATATAATCAAGTGCTAACTAGTATAGTGCAAAATAAATAAAATAGGATAAGAGATTGGGGAGGTCAGGTTAGTGGTTAGTAGTAGTAGGAATAGTTAGTAGTAGTTAGCTTCACGTTAGAAAACTTGGTCTAGCCTCTGAAAAATAAGTATGATTAGGATAGACGGAAGGAAAAATAAGTTAATTTAAAAACTCACTTTCTAAACCTCCATCTCCAATTGGACAATAGGCTAGAGACAGATGTACCAAAGATGCTGATTTATTCAACCCCTTCAATGAAAAAAACAATCATGTTGTTAAAAACACATGAGGAGAGTTCAAAAACCAGAATTACCACCAAATGTTGCCAGGATGAATTTTAGAAACCTTACCCTTGTTAACAATATTAAATCTCGTTCTCTTAAATATATTCCCTGAAGCTCTAGGTTCTTCAGAGCAGCAGATACACTTAAGCAGCCTTTAATAGCTTTACATAATTGGATGGTCACTTCTTTGGATCTAATTGTAGGAATTCGCCTTTTAGAATAGGCTTTATACCTATCAGAAGCTAGAAAAAAAAATGTTTTCCAAAATTGTTATCCAAAGAAAACCTGCACCAATGACAACAAAAAGTGCTTATGTAGAACATTCTTTTTCCTATATTAAAAACTAGATCCTGTGTGAATAAGCTGTCTCCCCTCTTCCAACTTTTCACATAAATACAAACATTAAACAACTGCATGAGTAAAGATACAAAGTTTAGGTAACTATCTCTAGAAGCTGAAAGCTTTAGTAAGGGGTCAAGATCTATAACATACATGATGAACTAACTACATTAATCATGTTACAAATAAAAAGCTATAAAACAAAGCATGAGATCTAAGGGGAAAGTTCACTGTCATCTAGGGAGATCAGAGAAGATTTTCTTAGAATAAGTAATATCTGACTGAGACTTTAAAGGATGGGTTTGACAGGTAAAGAGGAAAAGTAAGGGATTATAAAAGGGTCAGAAAAAAAGAATGGAATTGTAAGGGCATAGTGAGTGTTCAGGAAAGCAGAAAGTAGTCCAGTTTGGCTGGAATGTAGACTTATATGAGTAAAATGTTACAGGAGGCATGCTGCAGACTATTTGTTTGATGAGGCTTCCTTACACCACATACCACAACAAGCACAAATGGATGTGAACTAACATAAAAAGACCACATGATAAAAATCTTAGAAGAATACGGGATGAAATACCTTTCACAGCTATGCCGACAGATGCTTTAAAAAAAAAAAAGATAGGGTCTCCCCTACCTTGCCCAGGCTGGAAAAAGTCAGGGACAACTCAAGGGCTCAATCTCATTGACACCAGAACTTGACCCTGTTCCACTTCTGTCCTGGGCTGGCTGGCACTCCTTAGGTGACCTTGTGGCTCCCCAACTCTTGAGGCACACCATATTCATACCAAACTTAGTGGGGACACCTGATTGGCACAGCCTACTGCAGCTCAGAACTCTGAATCTCAAGATATCAGCCAGTCTCATACTCCCCAGTAGCTGGGATTACAACTGTGTGCTACATCATCCAGGGGTGAGGTAAATTTTTAGAAGATAAAATAGAAGGGCAGCTAGGTGGTGCAGTGGATAGAGCACCGGCCCTGAAGTCAGGAGGACCTGAGTTCAAATGTGACTTCAGACCAAACACTTGACACTTACTAGCTGTGTGACCCTGGGCAAGTCACTTAACCCCAATTGACTTGAAAAAAAAAAAGATAAAATAGACAATTTTGACTACACAAAATTAAAAAGCTTTATTCACTAATGAAAACAGAATTAAGAGAAACTGCACACTGGGAAAAATATTTGCATTAATATCATTAATAAAATGATATCCAGAATATATATGGAATTGACAAGAATATAACACCAACAGTCATTATAGTTTTCAAATTGCAAACTATAAATGGTTTCAAAACATGTTCCAAATTATTTATGAAACTAAAACAATTCTAAGGTTTCACCTCACATAAGACAAATGAGCAAAAATGACAAAAAATGAACAATATTTGAAGCCTATAGGAAGGCACACAGTAACAAATACAGTGTTGGTAGACATGTGAAGGTTTCAAACATTCTAGATTTCAATTTGAGACTATTTAAAACGAGTGATTAAAGTGTCCCTATCTGCCACTCTAGCCATCACACTACTGGGTATATAATCCAAAGACAAAAACAAAAAAAATTAATGACCCAAAACCAAAATATTAATGACAGTGCTCTTTGTGGTAGCAGAGTAAGAAAAAAAAGTGGGTGTTCATGATTGGAGAATGACCAAAAAACAGGGCATATAAATTTTATGGAGTTCTTACTGGACAGTAAGAAATGATGACTATCAAGAATTCTCAGAGCAATGGGGGGAAGATCTGTATGAAACGGAGCAAAGGGAAACAAAGTAGAACCAAAGAGAACAATACACACAAGGAGTACAACAATGTGAATGAAAAGCAGACGACAAAGTTGCCTGGCTCCGATGACATCCTTAGTCTTTACTGGGAGAAGAGGAGAGCTAACAGGACAGAATATCATCTACACTGTCATACTGGAAACCTCAACTTTGTGGCTTTTCTTTGTCCCCAAGAAGAGCTCAATCTGGAGAACTGGGTTGAAATCACAAGAGCAAAATGCATCAATTAAAGTGATTTTTCAAAAATAAAAATAAAATGAAGGGGCTAGACTAGAAAATCACTCAGGTCCACTCCAGCACTGTATCCAGGAGCCTATGAACTTCCTCCTCAGTCACAGTAATTATAACAGGCCACATTTATTGTCTACTACACAGCAAGCACTGTGCTAAGCACTTTACCATTATCTTATTTAACCCTCACAACCTTGTGAAGCAGGTGCTATTACCACCCTCAATTTAAAGGTGAGGAAACTGAGGCAGAGAGAGGTTAAGTGACTTGCCCAGGGTCACACAGCTGGATCTGAACTCAAACTCAAATCTTCCTGATTCCAGGCCTCGAACTCTATGCACTGTACCCCCTAAGCCCCTTTGACACCTTGGTGACTAAGTACTTCGTATTAGGTGATATCCAAATAAATTACCAGGGAACATTATAGATGACTACTATTCTGTTTACTAAATTATTGTTTTGAATTCCTAAGTAGCAAGCAAGAGGTGTTGGAAAGTCAGAAAATAGTTTTGTGGAGAGCTATTCTATGGAACCATGTGGCAAAATAAGCACACAATAAATGTCACATAAAAAATGATGACATTAGAGGCTGAAGTAGAAAAGCACACAATACTATGCAGTTCCATATACGCAAAGAACACTGGACTTGGAATCAAATGATTTGGGTCAGAAAGCACCTAGCAGCACAGTGCCTGGCACATGCAGGTGCTTAATACATGGTGACTGGATGCCAACTCTGCTGCTACAATTATTTTCTCAGTAAGCTCTTGCCACAACAAATAAACGCTACTTGAAACTTGCTTCTAGAAAACCACACTAATATATAGTATTCTACTTCACCCATCTCTTAAATCTACCCTATGGGATTCGGTTATTACAGATAAAAAACCTGGGGGTACCCACCTACCTACTAGTGAAAGTGTAAATTCTCAATTGTTTAAAATTTCACACATTCTCTCCCTGAGAACCTAACAACAGCTTAAAGGCTTAAGTAGCATTTCAGATCTGAACCACAAACCTGAATCTCCAAAACCTGGTTGATAGGAACTCCTGATGGCAACAGAGGGCAAATTTTTATTTATCCTAAGGGCGCTTAGCAAAGGTGCCCAGTCCAGGAGCTTGAGGCGGTCTGCATTGAAATCGAGCACCCCTAGCCTCAGGTTGGCTCTCACAACAGGCAGAGGTATAGAGTCTTGAAGTGCACAAAGATATTCATAGTGAGAAAAGAAATCTGCAGCACTCTCTCTTCGGAGCTTCACTGAGTCAATCATTTTCCGGCCACCAGCTGAAACCCACCCTGAACCCTGGGAAGGGAAAAGAAAGGCAGAGATTTACTCCCAGCAGGAACTGTAACTGGAGTAATCACCACTCATTTTGGCAGGGCATTGGGTTTTGGAGTGGGGTTTTTCTTTTCCTTCTTTTTTTTTTTGATGGTAAGGGGAAGAGTGGGAAGAATGGCTATATTAAACTTTTCCCACAGACTGTACTCCACCTTCCACCACCTCCTAAGAATAGAGAAACTCTGAAAAGGGGTAAGGTGTCGAAGGGGTTGCTTGCAGGATGGTAGGAGGGCAGCTGAAATTAACCTCCACATCTCCGGCCTGTGTGCTGCTTGTAACAAACCCCCTTTACACCGAAATTGTTGTTCAGTCTTTTCCAAGTGTGTCTGACATCATGACTATTTGGGGTTTTCTTGGCAAATATACCAAAGTGGTTTGCCATTTCCCTCTCCAGCTCATTTTACAGATGAGGAAACTGAGGCAAACAGGGTTAAGTGCCTTACCTCACAGAGCTAATAAATGTCTCTACTCCAGACCTGGCACTCTATCCACTGTGCCAGCCAGCTGCCCTTTTACACTGAAGAGCAGATTTTTAAAAAAGTGTGGAAAGGATTGTTTGCAGGATGTTAGGACAGCAGTTGGAATCAGGCCCCTCCTCCACACCTCTGGATGATGTACTATTTATAATGAACCCCCTTGACCCAGAAAAGCAGATTTTTAAAAAAGATGCTTGGCCGGGGTGGTTTCCAGGATGTTAGGGCAGCAACTGGAATCAGTTATCTCTCTCACATCTCCGGTTGGTGCTTTATAAAGAACTCCCTTTACAACGAAAAGTAGATTTTTTTTTAAAGGGATGGTGGGGTTGCTTGCAGGATGCTAGGACAACAATTGGAATTTGCTCTTCTCCCAGGCCTCTGGCTACTTATGAACTTCCTTTGCACTGAAAAAGATATGCACACATATCTGAATGATTTGATGTATGTGTATGCAGAGGAGGGGGGGGAGGTCGTTTGCAGGACGCTTACGGCAGCAGTTACAATCAGGTTCCCCCCTCCCCGGTCTCTGGGTGGAGTACTGTTTATAACGAACCCCCTTTACACCCCAAAGCTGATCAAATCTACACACACACAACCTAGGGCAAGCAGAGCCGGAGGAGGCGCGGGGGCAGCCGCAGCAGCCGCGCGGGCCGCGAGGCGCCGGCGGCCCAGGGCGAGGAGGCGCCACGGTCCCGCGGCTTGGCTCCCCAGACTCAATCCATTCCCTCACCCCATCCCCCGTGCTCCGCGCCGTTCACCTTTTCGGTTAAAGAAAGTTGACCCCCAGCTACATGTCTTTCAGTGCGGTGCTCCGCCGGGCTCCGGCCGTTAGCTGCCGTCCCATTGTCCTCCTCAGGTCGGCGCCGCCCACCGCACCTCTTCTGTTTGGTGTAATCCGGGAAGGTAGCGCCGACGCCGACAGCGAGCGAGCGTGCCCACGCAGGCCGATGACGTCATCGCGTCGACACCGCCCGCGAGGCGCCTGGAGGGGGCGGGGCCGGGCCGTTCGCGATCACGGGATTGGCTGCTGGAGGTTGGCGGGTTTTCAGGTTCTCTCCATGCTCCTCGCAGCCTCAGTCACGGAATGCGAGCTCTGGGAAGTACTTCCCGGGTCGGGGAATCCAAGACTTAGGGTTTTGAGGGCCCTTAAAGGTGATCTAATCCACAGTCTTCCCTTCTGCACATGAGGAAAATGAGGCCCAGAGGGCTTAAGTGACGTAATCACGCAGGTAGAAAAGAGCCCCTCATTCAGCAGTTGCAAAGAAGGATGTATGAAACCCCCTCCTCCCGCCTCCGACTGCACCTTTTCCAGCGGCCTGCACCACCTCCCTAGTTATCTAGGAGAGACCCCTGAGCCGTCAAAAGAGATTTTCCTAAAGCTCGAGGGCGGGTTTGACCGTACCACGTACGCTTACCCCTAGCTCAAGTGACCCCTGACCTCCTGGATCAAATATAAAATTCTCTAGCATTTAAAGCCCTTCACCATCTGGCCCCTTCCAACTCCTCCGGTTTTCTTGCACTTGACTCCTATCCACACACTGCATGGTCCAGAGACACTTGCAGTTCCTCGTACAGGACGCTTCATCTCCTGACTGCGCCTTTTCATTGTCTGTTCCTCACACCTGGAATGCTCCCCCGCCCCCCGGTTTTCCTGATTTCCTTCAGGATTCAGTATACATCCCACCTTCTGCAGGAGGCCTTTTCTGGTCTCCACTTTCCCTTTCTTCTCCAAGATTACCTTCCACTTACATCATATAGTAACCCCAAAGCTAATTGGTATGGGACTCTCTCCTCATTGGTGGAGGTCAGTGGCCAGGCCCTGCATGAGAGGCTGAATGGAATCAGTGAAATTGAGAGAGAAGACAAATCCCATCTCTTCAATATCTTCAGTATTTCCGGCTTCCTTGCTTCAAGAGAGATGATGGCCATACCAACTCCTCTTCAGGTTGCTGAAGAAAGAAAAAGATGCTGGGAAGAAGCCAACATGTAGAAGTCAATCCTGTCCTTATCCTCAGCTTGCTATGCTAGAGATTTTGGAGAATTTCCCCTTGGGGGAGATCAGGAACTCTCTTGGTTGAGTAAATTATCTTGCTCCCAATGGGAGAACTCCTTCAATTTGTATTGTCTGGGAAATATATAGACATAAATTAGATATAGATACATATTCTCATACATATACTTTCTCTGATCTCTATTTTTCTATTAATTTAGATAAATTAGTTTCTTTGCTATTTGCTATGTATGCCCATTGTGAACTGGTATTTGATGGGAAAGAAGTCAACTTGGATATTTTCCTTGGGGGCCTCCCTTCTCCATTAAGAAACACTGATCAAGAATTTAGCTTGAATCTTAAAATTACATCATCCTTTAAACTAATAATATTTAAGGGAGCAGATAGGGCAACACAGCTAAGACTACAGTCAAGAATCACCTACCCAGCAAAACTAAGTATAATCCTTCAGGGAAAAAAAAATTGATATTCAGTGAAATAGAGAACTTTTGAAGTATTCATGATGAAAAGACCAGACCTGAAATTTTGACTTTCATACACAAGATGCAAAAGAAGCATAAAAAGGTAAAGAGGAAAGAGAAATCATAATGGATTGATAAGGTTAAACTGTTTATATTCCTGCATGGTAAAATGATATTTATGACCCCTAAAAACTTTCTCATTATTAGAGCAGTTACAAAGAGTAAACATAGATAGAAAGCAGAAGTATGAGTTGAATATGATGGTATGATTATCTAAAAAAAAATAATAAAATTAAGGGATAAGAAAAGAATGCATTGGGAGAAGGGGAAAGGAAGAGATAGAATGGGATAAATTATCTGACATAAAAGAGGCCTGAAAGAGATTTTATAGTGGAAGGGAAAATGGGGAAGGTGGGGAGGGAAGAACATGAACCTTACTCTCATCAGAATTGGTTCAAAGAGGGAATAATACACAAACTCAGTTGGGTGATCTTACCACACAGGAAAGTAGGAAGGGAAGAGGATAAGAGAAGAGGGGGGAACTGATAGAAAGGAGGGCAATTTTGGGGAGGGAAAAGTCAGAAACAAAATACTTTTGAGAATGGACAAGATAAAAGGAAAGAGAGTAGGATAAACAGGGGGAAATAGGATGGAGAGAAATACATAGCCAGTAATCATTACTGTGAAAAAAATTTATGAGTTTCTGTATAAAGATTTCATTTCTCAAACATAGAAAACTGAGTCAAATTTATAGATATCAGAACCATTGCTCAATTGATAAGTGGTCAAAGGATATGAACAGGCAGTTTTCAGACAAAGTAATCACAGCTATCTATAGTCACATTTTAAAAATGCTCTAACTCACTATTGGTTGGAGAAATGCAAATTACAACAGCTACTACCTCTCACCTGTCAGATTGGCTAATATGACAGAAAAGGGAAATGACAAATGTTGGAGGGGATGTGGGAAAAATTAAAATACTAATGTACTGTTGGTGAAGTTGTATACTGATTCAACCATTCTGGAGAGCAATTTGAAACTACCCAAAGCACTATAAAATCATGCATTCTCTTTGACCAGGCAATACCATTACTAGGTATGTATCCCAAAGAGACAAGAAACAAAAAAGAGAAGGACCTGTGTGTTCAAAAATATTTATAGCAACTCTTTTAGTGGTGGCAAAGAATCGGAAATTGAGGGGATGTCCATCAATTGGGAATGGCCAAACAAGTTTTTGTATACGATTGTGATAGAATATTATTGTGCTTTAAGAAATGATGAGAAGGATGCTCCCAGAAAGACATGGAAAGACTTACATGAACTGATGCAAAGTGAAATGAGCAGAACCAGGAGAACATTGTACACAGTAATAGCAATATTGTATGATATACTATGAATAACTTAGCTATTATCAGCAATGCAATGATCCAAGACAATTCTGTAGGACTTATGATGAAAGGTGCTGTCCATCTCTAGAGAAAGAGCTGGTGCATCCTGAATGCAGATCAAAGATACTTTTTCTTTATGTTCTTTATTTTTCTTTATTTTTCTAATTTTTTTATTAATTTATTTTTAGTTTTCAACATTCACTTCCATAAGCTTTTGAGTTTTAAATTTCCCCCCCCTCCTTTCCTACCTCCCTCCCCAAGACTGCATGCAATCCTATAGAGGCTCTACATATACATTCCTGTTAAATATGTTTTCACATTAGTCATGTTGTAAAGAAAAATTACAACCAATAGGAGGAACCACATACTTTATTTTTCTTGGAGTTTTTGTTTGTTTGTTTTGGCATGAGGCAATCAGGGTTAAGTGTCTTGTCCAGGGTCACACAGCTAGTAAGTGTCAAGTGTATGAGGTCAAATTTGAACTCAGGTCCTCCTGACTCCAGGTCTGGTGCTCTTTCACTGTGCCACCTAGCTGCCCCTTGGAGGTTTTTTTTGTCTTTGTTTTCTTTCACAGGATGATTTACATCAAAATGTGTTTTGTATGATTGCACATGGTATAACCTATGTCAAATTGCTTTCTTTCCCAGTGGAGGGGGAAAGAAAGGGAGAGAATTTGGAACTCAAAATTTAAAAAGTTGTTTTTACATATAATTGGGATAAAAAAATAAAATGTTAAATAAGAATTATATAATTATATATATATATATATAAGATTCTATATATAATTATATAATTCTGTTTAGTGTATATCTACTTATCATGATTATTATCATGTTTGAATAATAATCATAATCACAGACTTCTTTATAATTTATATAGCTTTTTGATAGGAATTAAGTCTCAGCTGATTCTTACAACAAACAACGTGGTGAGATAGAAAGGAGAGGGGTTGTTATCTTTATTTTGTAAATGAAGAAACTGAAGCTCAAAGCAGATAAATGACTTTGCCTAAGACTACATAGCTAGTTTGTTGTAGAACCAGAGCTTGAACCCAGGTTTCCTTGTGCATAGACCACTTCTCCAATACTCTTTTGATGGCATCACACTTATTAAAAGACAAAGCGATTATAAAAGATGCCTGGAAATCTATAAAGTGGGATACAAATGCAGAGTATTATTGTTGTCTTAATGATTGCTTCAGTTTGTAGACTGGGGTTTTCCAGGGGCCACATCTTGAGTACTACACAGTCATGCAGTCATCTCTTCATTTTGCATTAGTTCCACAACTCTTATCATAAATTTCCTGCAATTTCACATTAAATGGATAAATGTGTCATCATTTAAACTCTTACATTTTGTCTAAATGATGAAAACATAATTCAGCAAGCATTTAGTATGTACTACGTGCTAGGCATAGTTTTGGGATTTCAGATAAATAGACAAAAAGGAATCAATACCTACTCTCAAAGAACTTACAGTCTAGAGGGGGAGAGAGAGTAGACATGATGGTATGGCTATAGACACATAAAAACACGCAGATGCATAAATAAAAACACATGCAGAGCAAATTGAGAGCAGAGGAAGAGCATTAACTATGGGGGTAGGGAGTGCCTCAGGAATTGCTTCAGGTAGGATATGTCTTTTGAGTTAAGTTTTGAAGGGAAGGAAGTAAGGCTTCCAAGATATAAGATGCAGGAGAACATTCTAGGCATAGGAAACAGTGCGTGCAAAAGAAGTAAGAGATAGAATATTGTCTGCAGAGAATGGCATGCAAGTCAGGTTGTCTGGTACGTAAATTACACAAAAGGAACATTAAATATGCGATATGAAATCAGTCTACTAAAGACATATTGGAGCCGGTTTGTGAAGGGCTCTAAATGCTAAACAGAAAATTATGTGTTTTCTCCTAGAGCATGGGTACTTAATCTGGGGCCTGTGAACTGGGACAATAAATTATTATTATAATTAATTTTTCTACCACACATTTCTTTGGTATTTCAATAGATCTGTTATCTCATTTTTGTGGCTACTCCTTCCAACAATGACCATCACAGTCAGTCTTATCTTTT